GGTGAGGGTTGGGGATGACGTGGCGGTTAGAAATGGTACACGTGACCACTGCGCATGACGAAGCGAGGCGTGTCAGGTGGGTGGGGGGTGACGTGGCTTGTGGTAGAGGGGTGTGACGTGGCAAGTGGGCCGGGTTGTTGGTGGACGTGTCGGATGGCGCAGGGTGTGACGTGGCAAGTTCAAACAGTGTTGCTCGTCACCATCCCATGGTCACGTGGCCACCCTCATAACTGCTGGTTTTTCTCTACCATGTCGTGTTGTATACCTTACACCCCTGCGCAGAACAAAACCTACTTAGTGTGCTCTCAGCTCATGTTTCTGAACCCGCCGGAGAAAATACGGTACTACCCTGCACCGGAGGAAGTGTTCGAAGCGTTCTCTGTCCACTTGTCTGCAGAAGGGCTCGAGGCAATGAAGCTGCCGTGGTTGCACAATGACAAGTCAACCATGGGAGTCTTCAACCACCAGCTGTCCTCAACAAGGTCAACTATCAACTCCACCCTCAGGCCAGCAGCATACACCGGCATGGGCCTTGCCGATTACAGCCATCTCGTGGATAGCCTGCCCACTGAGCTACACCCAACGACCTGGTTCGACGACGATCAACTCCTAGCCGAGTATAGAGATGGTATGTGCAGTGCAACTCGAAAACACAATATGCCCTACCATATGCCCCTTCGCAGCTACATATCACCGTGCGATGTGGCTCACCCTGACTCTCATCCCCCCATTTGATTTCTCTACAAAACCCTTTCCAACCCATACCCTCCCTGCCAAAAAGCAGAACAGTGGGCCCTCAGCTGGCACTTTGACAAGGCCACCGGGACACCCTTCAGCAACCCCTTGTTCGCTTATGCGTTCAAGCTCTCCTTCAAGAGGGGTGGGGCGGTGTTCACCAAGTTCAAGAGCCGCATGGTGGCATGGGGCCTGTTTTCGATAAGGATGTAGATATGTGTTTGTACCCCCATGCCTCATCCCCTTAACCCCTTGCCTGTACTTCAGCTAAAACCCTGGTCGATTAGGCCTTTGCAGTTACGTAGATAGTGACGACTGCATCACCGCTTTCAGTTGCCTTATTAACCCGTAACCTACCCTCCTCATAAACCATCCACCCAACCCTACACCACATTGCAGATCGAATGGCCCCTTCTGCAGGATAAGCGTCGCAAGCGAATCAGTAGCCAGCCGGAGCAGAACAGGCCAGACTACCAGGAGTGGTGCGAAAAGGTCAAACAGATGATCCATTTTGCTGTCATGGAGCGGAGGATCCCCCACCATCCGGCTATGGGTGCGTTCGTCTTTCCGAACAAGTTCCTCATCGACGACGGCGACCTTGGAGATGTCGTCCTTGCCCACCGTTCGCTTTCAAGGCCCGCCAGTGCGTAGGCTATTTGACCTGGTGCTAAGACTGCTTGTTGCTAGAATGCTGAATAATGGTTCTTGTAAACCGCAATAATAAATGCAATTTTGAAATCCTCAATATCCAAAATGAACAAAAACATAATTTAGTTCTGAATAATTTGGTCACGAGTTTGCAACAAAACGGATTGCGCCCGAATGTCATCCAGAAAAGCTCGCGTGCCAAATTGGAACTTGAACCGAGCCAAACCTTGTCGCAAGATGTGTCTCGGAGCTCCTATCAAATGACTCCAACCGTCGGTCCAAATTGGCTCCGGATTTTTTTTACGCGAAGACAATCGAAATCAAAATTCGTCCAAACTTGGGATAGGGTTTTTGTGATGGAGGCGGTCGAGTTGCTCCTACGTCAGTGTCGCGAGAGTGAATTCGACCATGGCGTGGGTGTCGCGCAAGCTCAGCGAGAGCCTCTGTCGTGGCCGTGTGTGCTTACGATGTCAGAATGTTGTATTTGTCTAGCCTGAAGTGGGATACTCTATAGCGAGTACAGCCCAATTTAGGGTTTCCTATATGTACTCAACTGCCTGCTAGTGCAAACCCTCTTTCGTGTTCTATCTTTCTACCTGCTATCTTCGACATGCTATCAGAGTGGTTACGCTCCTAGCCTGTGGGCCCACCATTTCCCCTCTTGCAGCCCGCGTGCCGCCCCTGCAGCCCGCGAGCCGCCCCTGCTGCCACCTGCCCTCGTGCAACTGCGGGGTGGCGGGTATGGGGGTGGCGGGTGTGTGTGTGTCGCCACTTGCTCCTCCTCCTCCTCCGTCTCCCACTTCTGCAGTTGCCGCTGAGGGGGGTGGGTGTGTGGGGGCCGAGGGAGTGGTGCTAGGGGGGTGACGTGGGAGTGGAGCTAGGGGTGCAGCAGAGGGTGTGTCAAAGGGGTGTGGGACAGCTGGGGGAGGTTGAGTGGAGGCAGCGCCAGTATTCCAGAGGCTACAATCTCTGGTAGTCGCCAGTCGCCCGTGGGTCAGTTGCTCCAGCCGCTCGGTGTAGGCGCAGAGCCAGTTACTCCTGAAGTCGGGGCCTTTGCTTCCGTAGCCACTGAGCCAGCCGCTACAGTGTGTCTGCAGCTTCAGCCGTTGCCTCCCATCTTCTCGTCCCCACAGTCTCTCCTCCTCCTCACTTGCCCTCTGTGATAGTCTCTAGCTTTACTTATCATTGTGAACTATTGCTCTACCTGCTGGTTGTGCTGATTACACCCCACTTTGGCTATGGGGGTGTGTCAGCGTGTTGTATTTGTCTAGCTTGCAATGGGGTACTCTATAGCGAGTACAGCCCAATTTAGGGTTTCCTATATATACTCAACTGCCTGCTAGTGCAAACCCTCTTTTGGTCTATCTTTCTACCTGCCATCTTCAGCATACGAGAGAGCACTACGAGCGGCGGTGCTTGTTTCGCTGAGAGACGTCCACCCCCCCCCCCCCCAAAAAAGTTGAGATAACGAGGAAGCGAAGGCATGGGTGCAGACCGAGAAGATATCGTAGGCTCTGATACAAAGTGTTACGAGTGCAATTGGAGTGAGCGAGCGAGAATTGCACTATCGAAGCAAGAGTACAATGAGCGGAGACATGAGAGAAGAATATATAGCGAAAACTATAGTGGTAACGGTAATGTGTGAAAAATGGGGTGCCCGACGGGCCTGGCGCCGAGGTTGGGAAATGTCGAGGCGGACGTCCGGAGCGCGGGTTGCCAGCCGAACCGTGAGGTTGGGTCGCGTCGAGAACAGTGGCGGGAACAGTGTCGAGGCGAGTGTCGCGAGTGGTAACGGATTACTGTTGGATGCTGTTGGCAGGAACAGTGGTGTACACGCTGAGCAGGGACGTGAAGTAAGGAAAATGAAATTTACTTACAATCATTATGAAGTGAACAACTGGCGATGGACTAAGAGTGCACACACTCCGAGGAGTATTCAAATCGGTATAACTGCTGTTGTTGCGGAAGTTGACGTGTCACCCTCGCTGGCCCTCTAACCCTCCAACCGTCAGAAACCAGCCACGTAGGTGTTGAAGGATGAACTTTTTTGCCACTAATCGCCTGTTTCACGATTTGCGACTCACAGCCGCGTTCGCAAATCGCAAATATGTCAGGCTTGGACGTGGACCCTCGGATATTCGGGGGAATATTGAGGGCGCATACCAGCCCGCCCTTGGAATTGACGGTCGGATTATTGTTTGGGGCTGCAGACTGTGAGCTTGCGATCACTCTGGGCCATGTGCCCACGATCGTCAAATCGACTGAACAGAGCGCGCACCATTGAGTTCGTGAACGAAGCGCGGTACTTGTTGCTAATCTTGGACCTAAGCGTACAACTTTCAACTTCAACATGCTGAACCCCCTCGAGCCTGCAAAACGATCCCACAACAGATTGGACCCCGAATTGCACATGATGCATCACGCCCTTTTCCCGACAGGGTCGATTTTCCATTCTCATTCTTTCACCTAGCCGCAAGCCTCAGGAGGAACTTCTGGTGTGAACGACTTAATAACTAGCTCGATTGAAAAATTAGCACCTAAGAGAGGCAAGGTCTCCTCGTCAGTAATTACGTTAGGTCTCGCTTGGACAGGATGGCGACCATGGTTATGCGGTTACCAGGAACCGCTGCATCGCTAGGCAATTCCGTCGCCATCGGCCAGCCGAGAGAAGCCACGTTTGCGACGACAGCTTCTTTCGCACCATTGGCTTCGCTAAGATTTTCGTCGCTAAGAGCTGAAATTCCTTCTTCTCAGATTCGATTATCCCGTCAAACAAATCCGAAACATCCACGTCATCAAGCCACGTGGCGGTGTGTGCGTGCCCAAAGCCAGCAGCCAGAATCAAGCTCCACCAGAAGTACTTCTACAGACGGTCACGTCCGCAATGCTGACCTGGACTTGCCCGAGTCGGTGGCTGCCAAGGTGGCAACCGTTGGCGAGCTTGACCTATCACCGCTCTCGCCTCCTGCTGACGTGGAGATCATTGATACGCAGACCGCCATGAGGACCGTCGGATTTTGGGTAAGAAGCACGCACGATCGGTACACCTTATAACGCGGATAAAAGAAACTGTGGTCTCGAATGGTTCTTATACTCGGGCGCCTTCAGTTTTTAGAATCGGATATCATCCGCCATCATCCCCCCTCCCTCCTCTCCTCCCCTTCTCTCGTCCATCCGGTCGCTGCTGCATCTGCTGCCAGCAGCAGCCTTCGAATATTCAGACTGAAATGTGGACGGGCCGATGTACGGGTGGACAGACCGATTGAAGATGCCTGCCTTCCGCATTCCGCCTCTTCCGCATTCCGCCTCCTCCGCATTCCGCCTCCTCCGCCACTTTCCACCCCGCTTCCGCATCCACCCTCTTCCGCATCCCCCCTTTTCCGCATCCCCACCCCCCATTCCCCTTCCTCTGCTTCCTCCCTCCGCTCCCCTCTTCCGCATTTCCCCTCGGTATTTAATCTTTTACCGTTTTCTCCTCTTCCGCCCTCCCCCTCCCGTCCCCTCCCTTCCCATCCCATCCCCTCTCACCAGGTGGGGTGGGAGGGCCCTCTATATTGTTCCCAGTTCTCCTGCTCCCATCTCCCTCTCCGTCCGCCTCTTTTTTCCCCTCCCATCAGGTGGCAGCGGCAGTGGCGTTTGGACTAGTCGTGGGCTTCGTGGAAGGACCCACCAAAGCGTCAGAGTTCTTTGCGGGGTGAGACATGGGGGAGAGGGGTGGGGAGGGGCGGAGAGGGATGGGGAGAGTTGGGGATGGGCGGGGAGGGGTGAGGAGGGGTGATGCGAGTGGCACGACTCACCAAAGCGTTGGTGTTCTTTGCGGGGTGAGGCACTGGTTGTGTGGGAAGGCAAGGAGGGGAAAGGTGGGGTGAGGAGGGGTGGGGAGGGATGATGCGAGTGGGAAGGGCCGACCAAAGCGTCGGAGTTCCTTTGCGGGCTCAGACATGGGGGAGAGGGGCGGAAGGGGAGGGGTGCGGAGGGGTGGGGAGGGGTGATGCGAGTGGGAAGGGCCGTCCACAGCGTCGGAGCGGGAAAGGGGAGAGAGGGGCAGAGATGATGGGCAGAGATGATGGGCAGAGATGATGGGCAGAGATGATGGGCAAGCACGTTGCTGGGCTAGCGGGGAAGGAAGCAAGGGAGAAATTGGTTTGAGAATTCTCAAAGTGAGTGGGGAAGGAAGCAGAGAGAGGGGCGGATACGATGGGCGGCGAGCTGGGCAAGAAAGGGCTCAGGGTTGCAAGGGAGAAGAGGGGATTCGTGTTTTGAGACGACTTAACCGCTCCGCTCACCATCTCGCCACCGGTTCTCTCTCTGCTGCTTGCCACTTGGCAGGTATCTATTGGAGCAGAGCCTGTCCGTGGACAATCTCTTTGTGTTCGTCCTCATCTTCTCTTACTTCAAAGTGCCCACCGCCTACCAGGTACGTACGTGCCACTCACGCTCTCTCTCACAGCGTACCAGGTACATGCCACTCACGCTCTCTCACAGCGTACCAGGTACGTGCCACTCACGCTCTCTCACAGCCTACCAGGTGGGTGCCACTCACGCTCTCTCACAGCATACCAGGTGGGTGCCACTCACGCTCTCTCACAGCCTACCAGGTGGGTGCCACTCACGCTCTCTCACAGCATACCAGGTGGGTGCCACTCACGCTCTCTCACAGCCTACCAGGTGGGTGCTCTGCTCTCTATCTACCATCCTACTACCACCCCTTTCCAACCTCTGTCCGTGGACAATCTCTTTCTCTTCCTTCCCATCTTCTCCTACTTCAAACTGCCTACAGCCCAAGGTTAAAAAAAACGTCGTTTTTTTTGAAAATTTACCGTAAAAAACGGCCGTAAAAAACGACCGTAAGAAACGGTGAAAAAGGTTCCAGAAGGTGGTTTCGTTTGAAGAAAAAATCGGCCGATTTCTGGGACCAAATTGATGGCGAAAGGTACCAGGAGGAAGAGGACGAACCCCTCCTTGCATGCGTGCGCTTGTGGGCAAGATTGAAAATGTATTCGATCTCGTTTTCTCCTTTTTTTGTTGGTGACAACAGTTCTCTAACAAAAAAAAGCTGTTTTTTTTTGGAAAATTACCGTAAAAAACGGACTGTAAAAAATGGACCGTTTTTTACGAAACCGTATTTTTGAACCTTGCTACAGCCTACCAGGTGGGTCCTCGTGCTCTGCTCTACCACTCCTTCCCACCGCTTCCCATCCCACCACCACCCCTTCCCACTGCTCTCGGTGGACGTTCTCTTGGTCGTCGTCCTCATCGTTTCCTACTTCAATTCAAAGTGCCTACATACAGCCTACCAGGTGGGTGCTGATTACTGCCCCATCTCTTCCCACTACCACCTCACCCCTCTCCAAACGTTGTCACCCCTTCCAACCGCTTTCGGTGGGCAATCTCTTTGTGTTGGTCCTCATCCTCTCCTACTTCAAAGTGCCCACCGCCTACCAGGTACCACCTCACCCCTTTCCACCCCTTCCCACCCCTTCCAATCCAACTGCTGGCCCACCCATTCCCATACCACTACCACCACCCCTTCCAACTGACCTCGGTGGACAATCCCTTTGTGTTCCTCCTCATCTTCTCCTCCTAAACAAGTCCCTACAGCCTACCAGGTACTCACGCATTACTGCCCCATTCGCTCCCTCTACTCCCTTCCCATCCCACTACCACCTCACCCCTCTCCAACCTTTACCACCCCTACCAACCGACGTCAGTGAACAATATCTTTGCCTTCTCCTACTTCATCGTGCCCACCGCACATCAGGTACTCACGCTCTCTAATGCTCCATTCATTCATAACCGCTCTCTCTCTCTCTCTCAAAAGACACTCTTTCTCTCTCGCCTTACCTGAATCGACTCACAACTCTCTTTGTCCTCGCCTACGTCAAAGTGCCTTCAGCCTACCAGGCAGGTAGCCGCTCTCTCTTTCTGCCTACAGCCCACCAGGTACTTACTCTTGACTGGCCCACCCCTTCCCTTCCCACTACCACCGCACCCCTTCACAACCCTTCCCACACCTTCCCACTACTGCTGCACCACATCATTCTTCCTTTCAGATCCACCCAGAATACACATCCTGCAATTTCTCAGGTGCTACTTACAATCACAGAGCTGCGTCCTTCACATACGGTGCTGCTATGCCTTCCTAATCAACCTGTCCTCCGATATTCCACTAGTCTCTGAATCGAATCGTCCCCACCCCCCTCCCCTCCCCCCCCCCCAATCCCTCCTTCCTCCCTCTCCCCCCCTATTCCCTCCCCCTTTTTCTCCTCAACCCCTCCATGCCTGACTGCCAGCCTCGGGTGCTCACGTATGGCATCGCTGGAGCTGTGATCTTCCGAGCCATCATGATAGGTCTGGGCATTGCGGCCATTCAAGCCTTTGAAGCGGTCAACCTGCTGTTTGCCGCGGTTCTCATATTCTCCTCCTACAAGGTGCAAACCATGCTCCCTGCCAACTTGCAAGTGTGGGTCGTGTGATGTGTTGGTACCAAGGGTGTTTGCTGCATCATGTACGCTTGGTCCTTGAATCGTGGGTGGGAATCGCGGCCATTCAAGCCTTTGAATCGTGGGTGGGAATCGCGGCCATTCAAGCCTTTGAAGCAGTGAACCTGCGGTGTGCTGCTGTGCTCATATGCTCCTCCTACAAGGTGAACTATCGGTGGTGTGGTGCCGAGGGTAGTTGGAGGGGTGGCGCGTGGGTGTGTAGTGGTGTGTGGTGGGTGTGTGGTGGGTGTGTGAGTCAACTCAGAGCCACCATGACGGGCCTGCCTCACCAGAAGAGGCGTTGCATTGCAGCCATCCAGGCGTTTGAAGCAGGCTGTTCTGAGTCGATTCGACTCACAAGTCTCACGGATTGGCCGTTGAGTCGACTCAATAGTCATCCCGGACTGGCCTCGGCATTCAAGCGTTTGAGGGATTTTTGAGTCGAGAAAAAGAGTCACCAATGGTTGTGTGGAGTAGGGTGGAGAAGTGAGTGGCAAAACGAGTGGCAAGAAACGAAATGACAACTCTGGCTGGCTGTCTCGGATTGCGGTTTTGCTGATGGCTTGTTGGTTAAGGCAAGCGGTCTCCCTTTGCCGCAGGCGTTTTTTGAGAAGCCTCAAATTTGCTGTCTTCTGATTGCTGTCTTCTGATTGCTGTCTTCTGATTGCTGTCTTCTGATTGCTGCCCGCCTCCCTCGCTCCCACCCACCCTCCTCTCCCCCTCATGCCAGGTACTAGCAGAGGCAGAGGACGAGGTCGACGACCTCCAACAACTCAGTCGTCACGTTCTGCCCTTGTCGCCCAATCCCTCCCTTCTCTGCCTGCTATCTTCCTCCCCTCCTTCCACCCACATCAGCTGTCAGCTACTAGCAGAGGCAGAGGACGAAGATGACGATTTCTCTAACAACTCAATTCCCCCCTCCCTCCCTCTCTCCCTCCCTCCCTCCCTCTCTCCTCTCCCCCCCTCCCAAACCCCTCCTCTCCCCCATATCAGCTACTAGCGGAGGCAGAGGACGAGGATGACGACCTCTCCAACAACTCAGTGGTCAAGTTCTGCCAAAAGCTCATCCCTATAACAGGTAGGCTTTTCCCTTTTCTTTTCCTTATCCACTTTTTATCCATCTGGGGTTTCGGGTTTCGGGTTCAGCCATTGAGGGTTCAGCAGCCATTGGTTATAAGATGTCAGCTCCGCACACGCACAGACACATGCACACACATGCACACACACCAAGGTTAAAAAAAACGACCGTATTTTTGAAAATTTACCGTAAAAAACGGTACCGTAAAAAACGGCCGTAAAAAACGGTAAAAAACGGTTCCAAAAGGTGATTTTCGTCTAAAGAAAAAATCGGCCATATTATGGGACCAAATTGATGGGAAAAACCACCAGGATGAAGAGGACGATCCCCTCTTTGCTTGTGTGCATGCGTAAGCATGATCGAAAATGTATTCGACCTTGTTTTTGCCTTTTTTTTCTTGGTGATAAGAGTTCTCTAACAAAAAAACGGCCGTATTTTTGAAAATTTACCGTAAAAAACGGACCGTAAAAAACGGACCGTAATTTACGATTACCGTATTTTTGAAAATTTACCGTAACGCACACACACGCACGTAGGCACGTACGCACACACACACACACACACACACACACACACACACACACACACACACACACACACACGCACGCACGCACGCATGCACGCACGCACGCGCGCGCGTGCACGCGGGCACACACACACACACGCATGTACGCACACACACACACACATGCACACACACACACACACGCACGCATGCATGCACGCACGCACACACACACACACACACACACACACACACACACACACACACACACACACACACGCGCGCACGCACACACAATCTTGAGAAGAACTCGTTTTTTTTAAGTTTCGATCCTCTCTTCAAACTGCAATCCATGCCTTTTTCCATGTGCAGATTACTACGACGGCAACCAGTTGTACTCTTTGGAATTCACAAAAGTGTCTCCACCATCCCTCCCCCCCCCCAACCACCTCCACCTCATGTGCAGATTACTACGACGGTAACAAGTTCTACACCACAACAGCAGCAGGCGTGCAAATAGTCAGTACACAAACCCTGGACCCTCATGTTCCCTTTCTTTTAGCCACCTTTTGACCCTGATGTATACGTTCCCACTTTTTCTCTCCCATCCCTGGGCGCCTTTTCTCATGCTCTGCCTGCTTTCCCTTTCTCACTTGCTGCTGATACCCTTTCTTTCACCCTGATTTCCCTTTCCACGATTCCTTCCTCTCTGATCCCCCTTTCTTACTCGTTTCCTCCTCCCCACCATCCCTCCCCTTCACAAATTGCTTGCTTCTCCCGCACTCGGCTGCATTGCTCAGCTTATTGTCCTGTTGCCTTCATCCACCCTCTCCTCCTCCTCCTCCTCCTCCTCCTCCTCCTCCTCCTCCTCCTCCTCCTCCTCCTCCTCCTCCTCCTCCTCCTCCTCCTCCTCCTCCTCCTCCTCCTCCTCCTCCTCCTCCTCCACCTCCTTCTCCTCCTCCTCCTCCTCACCCCTCCTCCTCCTCACCCCTCCTCCTCCTCACCCCTCCGCTTATCTCTTTGTTGTGTCAACACCCACTCACCCTCCCCCCCACCCTCTTTCCCCACCAACTAATGCATCAATCCACGCCTTTCCCTCCTCACTCTGTCCATCCATTGTTTCCCCCGTGCACCCTCCTCTCCCGTGCACCCTCCTCTCCCCCGTGCACCCTCCTCTCCCCACCCTCCTCTCCCCACACCTCCTCTTCCCACCCTCTTCTCCCCACCCCCTCCCCCCACCTGCTGCCCCCACCACGCAATACATCAGGCCACTCCTCTCCTCCTCACTCTAGCCGTTGTCGAGCTGTCGGATATTGTCTTCGCCGTGAGTGCTGGGCTGCCATCTGCTTTTCACATGCTTGCTAGTGAAAAGGGGACTCCCCTTCTTTTCTCCCCGCTCCTATCCTCCTCACTCTAGCCGTCGTCGAGCTGTCGGATGTTGTCTTCGCGGTGACTGCTGTGCTGCTCTTGCTTCACAAATGCACCGCGAGTGCTGTGCTGCGCAAATCCGTCACCGACAAGTGATCAGTCTGGAGAGGCTCTTTGCTCCTGGAAAACTCTCTTCGTCGTAAATGGGACTACTTCTACTTGCACTTTGGACGCGCCTCAAAACTAGACTTTGGGCTCTTCGCCCCCACTTGGTAGTGAATTGGACAACTTTTACTTGCCAGGCGCCTCAACAAGGGCCCCTCCTTTCCTTCAGTTTGACTCCATCTTGGCAGCCTTTGGCGTCACTCGCGATCCCTGTCTGTTTGCCTCTTTGCCCCATCCCATCCCATCCCATCCCATCCTATCCCATCCCATCCCATCCCATCCCATCCCATCCCATCCCATCCCATCCCATCCCATCCCATCCCATCCCATCCCATCCCATCCCATCCCATCCCATCCCTTCCCATCCTATCGCATCGGGTCCCACTCCATTAGTTTAATTCCATCCCGGCAGTCTTTGGCGTCATCGTACTCATATCCCATATCTTTCTCCATCCTTTTCCAACCTTCTGCATCCCTTCCCACCCCACCCCACCCCACCCCACCCCACCCCACCCCACCCCACCCCACCCCACCCCATCCCATCCCACCCCACCGCACTCCATCCCACCTCTTTTGACTCCATACCATATATGGCGTCACACGAGATCCCTTCAACGTATTCACATCCCATATATTGCTTTGCCCATCCCTTTCTACCCTTTCCTTTCCATTCTTTCCCATCCCTTTCCAACCTTTTCCACCCCTTCCCAATCCCTTCTCATCAGTTTGACTCCATTCCGGCCGTCTTTGGTGTCACTAGCGATCCCTTCATCGTATTCACCTCCAACATCTTTGCCCCATCCTTTCCCATCCTTTCCCATCCTTTTCCATCCCTTCCCATCCCATCCCATCCCATCCCATCCCATCCCATCCCATCCCATCCCATCCCATCCCATCCCATCCCATCCCTGCTCATCAGTTTGACTCCATCCCAGCAGTCTTTGGCGTCACTCGTGATCCCTTCATCGTCTTCACATCCAACATCTTTGCTATTCTCGGTACGCTCACCACTGCTTACTGTTGCAATCATTGGATATCGCTCCTGCTTAACGTCACCCTTTTCATCGTATTCACATCCGATGTTTTGCAACTCTTGCAACAATCACCACTGCTTACTGTCACTATTACTTGGTGTTGTCCCCACTGATTAGACATTCATATTCGTCGTTTTCAAGCCCTTTTCTGTTTGTTGAATCGCTTCCCTCTTGGGACTTTGAGCATCATGGCATGGCAGTACACAGCAGCATCACAGCATGCAACGGCACCCATCCATCAGGTCTGCGCCCTCTCTTCACAGGCGTTGCCACCAGCACAGCCCATCTGCGCCACCAGCACAGCCCATCTGCGCCACCAGCACAGCCCATCTGCGCCACCACCACAGCCCATCTGCGCCACCAGCACAGCCCATCTGCGCCACCAGCACAGCCCATCTGCGCCACCACCACAGCCCATCTGCGCCACCAGCACAGCCCATCTGCGCCACCACCACAGCCCATCTGCGCCACCAGCACAGCCCATCTGCGCCACCAGCACAGCCCATCTGCGCCACCAGCACAGCCCATCTGCGCCACCACCACAGCCCATCTGCGCCACCAGCACAGCCCATCTGCGCCACCACCACAGCCCATCTGCACCACCACCACAGCCCATCTGCGCCACCAGCACAGCCCATCTGCGCCACCAGCACAGCCCATCTGCGCCACCAGCACAGCCCATCTGCGCCACCACCACAGCCCATCTGCGCCACCTGCACAGCCCATCTGCGCCACCAGCACAGCCCATCTGCGCCACCAGCACAGCCCATCTGCGCCACCAGCACAGCCCGTCTGCGCCACCAGCACAGCCCATCTGCGCCACCAGCACAGCCCGTCTGCGCCACCAGCACAGCCCATCTGCGCCACCTGCACAGCCCATCTGCGCCACCAGCACAGCCCATCTGCGCCACCAGCACAGCCCATCTGCGCCACCAGCACAGCCCATCTGCGCCACCACCACAGCCCATCTGCGCCACCACCACAGCCCATCTGCGCCACCAGCACAGCCCATCTGCGCCACCTGCACAGCCCATCTGCGCCACCAGCACAGCCCATCTGCGCCACCAGCACAGCCCATCTGCGCCACCAGCACAGCCCATCTGCGCCACCAGCACAGCCCATCTGCGCCACCAGCACAGCCCATCTGCGCCACCACCACAGCCCATCTGCGCCACCAGCACAGCCCATCTGCGCCACCACCACAGCCCATCTGCGCCACCACCACAGCCCATCTGCGCCACCACCACAGCCCATCTGCGCCACCAGCACAGCCCATCTGCGCCACCAGCACAGCCCATCTGCGCCACCACCACAGCCCATCTGCGCAACCAGCTCAGCCCGTCTGCGCCACCAGCACAGCCCATCTGCGCCACCAGCACAGCCCATCTGCGCCACCAGCACAGCCCATCTGCGCCACCAGCACAGCCCATCTGCGCCACCAGCACAGCCCATCTGCACCACCAGCACAGCCCATCCGCGCCACCAGCACAGCCCATCTGCGACACCACCACAGCCCATCTGCGCCACCAGCACAGCCCATCTGCGCCACCAGCACAGCCCATCTGCACCACCAGCACAGCCCATCTGCGCCACCAGCACAGCCCATCTGCGCCACCAGCACAGCCCATCTGCGCCACCAGCACAGCCCGTCTGCGCCACCAGCACAGCCCATCTGCGCCACCTGCACAGCCCATCTGCGCCACCAGCACAGCCCATCTGCGCCACCAGCACAGCCCATCTGCGCCACCACCACAGCCCATCTGCGCCACCACCACAGCCCATCTGCGCCACCACCACACCCCATCTGCGCCACCAGCACAGCCCATCTGCGCCACCACCACAGCCCATCTGCACCACCAGCACAGCCCATCTGCGCCACCAGCACACCCCATCTGCGCCACCAGCACAGCCCATCTGCGCTACCTGCTACTACATGGCCGACTTACCCCTCGCTCACATCACTGCTCTTCCCTCTGTGAATCCCATGCCACACCCTTCCATCCCATGCCACACCCTTCCATCCCATGCCACACCCTTCCATCCCATGCCACACCCTTCCATCCCATGCCACACCCTTCCATCCCATGCCACACCCTTCCATCCCATGCCACACCCTTCCATCCCATGCTCCCTTCAGGTCTGCCCTCACTCTTCACACTCATCGCCACCTGCATGGCGAATCTGCACTACCTACAGCTACAATTGAACCAGCTGTCTCTTACCCCTCTTCCCTTCTCCGCCTTCTACTATCATCACTCCTCACCCCTTCAGGTCTGACATCTCTTTTCACAGTCATCGCCACCTGCATGGCGGATCTACACTACCTTCACCTGCCCATTGGACCTCCTTCCTGATCTCTACCTCCTTCCATCCCATCCCACCGCACTCCACACCCCGTCAGGGCTGCGGTCACTCTTCACAGTGATCGCCACCAGCATGGCGGACCTGCACTACCTGCAGCCAGCCATCGCAGTCGTGCTCGGCTTTATTGGTTCTAAGATCCTAGCCGACTTCTGTGGTGAGTGTGTTAGATTAGCATCCTCGTTGTAGCCTGCATCTATCATATAAGCTTCGGCTAGAGAAAGACACCCAAATGTAGCTTGGGTGTAGAACTAGGGCTAACCCTAGTTGGGGGTTGGAACTCAACACTTGGCCCAATTATCTGGCCCCCAAGGCTGAGTTGGGAATCATTGCCCCCCCCCAATAATGTTGAACCACTTTGGTCAACATTATTGGTCCCCCCAATAACTCCTCAACCCAACTTATTGGTGGGGGCCAATTATGTTGGCTAGGTTCCAACCAAACCCCCATCCTAGCACACCGATGTATACCCACGTTCTTTCCTAATCGGTTCATCTTCTAGATTTCTCACACAGTTGGTGCATTGCCTTGTGGTTGAGTTGTCACTGAGTTCTTGGTGTGATGCAAGAGTAAGACCCATCTGCACTGCCTACCTACACCCGGCCGGCCGTAGCAGTGGTGGTTGAGGTCATCGGCTGCAAGATCCTCGCAGCGTTCTGCGGTGAGTCGTCTCTCCGGGCCATCACACAACATGCCATCAAACACCATGCACCCATCTGCAGCCGGCCATTGCAGTGGTGCTCGGGTTCATCGCCTCCAAGATCCTAGCAGAGTTCTGTGGTGAGTCGTCTTGGCACTACCAGGCTTGCACGTACGACAGATGTTCTGTGGTGACATTGCCGCTGGCAGGAGGACTGTTCACGCTTAGATTCTCGTTTTCCTTCTCTCTCACCCCTTGTGTTCTGCACTGCCAGGCCTGCGCGTACCAACAGAGGTTTCTCTAGGGGTGGTGACATTGCTGCTGGCAGGAGTGTTTACCCTCTCCCTTTCCTCTCTCTCACCCCTTGTGTTCTGCACTGCCAGGCCTGCACGTACCAACGGAGGTCTCGCTAGGGGTGGTGGTGTCACTGATGGCAGCAGGCCTGCCTTTCAGCCTTTGACTCTCCCTCCCCTTCTCTCTCCCCCTTCTCCCCTGCACTACCAGGCCTGCATGTTCCAACAGAGGTCTCGCTAGGTGTGGTGGCGTCGCTGCTGGCAGGAGGAGTGTTCTTCAGCCTTAGATTCCCTCGCACAGAGGGAGATGATAAAGAGGGGTTGTAGGCATGCACAATATTTGATGTAGTCCACCTATCATAGCATTTATACATTTTTTTAAAAGGAAAGGAAGTATATTGTAGAAGATGCAATCTGCTGTAAGCAGTCAACATTGTATAAGCAATGTTCAAACGGGTGATTCTGCATAAAATTTCGGAAATTACAGCAGCCCTTAGGACGGGTCAAACTTGTAACAATCTGAAGTGGGGTTGTAGGATGGTTACAGGTTGACCGCAAGTCTTGTAGCAGCGGAAGATTGTTAGTGAATGTCGGGTACGGACCTTAAGAAGGAGATTTGAATCTCAACAGAAGCGACTAACAATGCGGTACAAGGGTTTATATAGGAATACAAGGGAATACGAAAGGTCCAGCTAGCCATGTATTCTGAGGGGGTTCATTCTCTTTAGAGCTAACCTACATCGGGAATGGCAACCATGCGGTTCGGTAGCAATACACGCCACGGTAGCTGTTTAAATGCATTCCCGGGCTTGCTGTAAGGAATTTTCTATACCTTACTAAGTCACACTGTACGCGTACAAACCCAGTCTTCGGAAACCCAGGCTCGGTCCGACGACCCCGCCTTCCGAACCACCATCGCGTCGCCTTCGGGTTTCCCAAACCCGAACCCGCACCCAACCATTTTCACGACTCCGCGACGTTGGCCTAGCTAGCATTGCTATATTAGTCCTAGGCCTCGATGTTTGCTCGGACGTTGTAATCACTTCCGCGTTATTAGATTCAGTGCACTCTTCTCTTTCACAACTCATAACACTTGGTATCAAAGCTACTTTCCTAGGTTACCCTCGTGTTTTCGGGGTAGTTTAGTGAAGGGGTACGATAGACTTGGTGGGCTGCAAAGCGGACAGCCTCTGAAATAGATACGATTATTTCACTCCGACTACTAACCAGCCCCTGCCCGTCCGACGAAGCATGAGAAACATGTAGCAGACAGAGTTTGACGCGTTACTACAGGACTTCCGAGCGATGTAGGCCAACATGCAGGCGATGACCGTGGAAATGGAGCGCATGAGGAAGGAAAACGCCGAACTACACCAGGCGAGTGGTGAAGCGCGCCAGGAGTCGCCTGTCGTCGAGGCCGCAAGTAGCAGCTCCACGCCAGATGAGCGGGTCTGGGATGAGCTTGAAGGCTCCATGGATGCGATGCGAGACAGGCACAGCAGCATCAGTCACCGCAACAGTCGCGTGCGGCGCCAACACGTGCAGCAGCGACAGCTCCGGCGACGCAAGCAGCAGCGCCAACAATCCAAGCAGCAAGCGGCTTTGATAACGGTCAAAATCAAGGTGACAAACGCGCCCCCGCTTAACCCAAGTGACAAGTTCGTCACTGTTTCTGCATGGTTGTTTGGTGTGGAGGTGTTTTTCGATGCTGCTATGATTAATCATGATGCCACCCGCATCAATTTCGTAGTATCACTATTAAGGGGACCTACGCTGGAGTGGTGACGACGAACGTTGCAAGACGAAGGGACTTTGACAGGACTAGCACGTGCGGACGACGGGACTTCGACACCTGTCACGCAACGAGCAGCTTCAAATTTCGGGACGGCTACGATACGCACATGGAAGGAGTGGGACGCCGCGCTGCGAACCAGGCTCGAGCACATATCCACCTCGGACTCTGCTCGCATGAAGCTGCGTGCCTGGAAGCAGCTGACTTCGGTCCAAGACTACACCAGCACATTCTGCAACTTGGCGGACCAAGTGGACGACATGAGTGATGCGGAGTGGTTGGATCGCTACGTGGCGGGCCTGAAATACGAGATACAGTACGGAGTCCGATGCACGCGGCCACGCAGCTTTAACGACACCGTCCGAGAAGCCGAGTCAAGGGATGCATTGCTGCAGGGGGCAATATCTAGATCCCGGGAGGGCCCTCGATTTCGCGGATCGACTCAGCAGCCGACGATCAACGGCGTGGATGCACCGAGCCATCGGGCTGTGCTTTGCGTGCAACCAGCTGGGCCACCTGAGAAAAGTGTTAGAGAATGAATGGTTGAATTGAAAGAGAAGTGAGTACAAGTACCTAAACCTAGAATTGTGTACCCCCTAAAGGCTAACCCACTGTAGCCTTAACAACTACAACATATATAATGTTTGACACACCCCCATAGGCGAAGTGGGGGAGAGCAAGGGGTCACAAGACCAGTCAAAGCAAAGCAAGGCAAAACAAGCTCAGGGTGAATCTCAAGGATACCACACAAATTCCGAGCACAAGCAAGTGGTCACAAGACCGGTTCACATGCAGTTTGATAATATAACAAGAGATACAGTAATCACAACCTAACAAGTGTAAGCATGCAGGTATATATATAGAGATCACAGTACAAGCAGAGTCAAGAAGTGAGCAAGTGAGGGAGAGTAGGCACAAGGCCTAGAACAGTACAGAAACGCTGATGGTCACAAGGCTGAAGCGCCTTGGTTAACACATCAGCAGTGTTGGCCCGAGTGGCCACGTAACGCAGACGAAGCTGACCACGCTGCAGCAGCTCTCGAGCAAGGAAGTACCGCAGAGCGATATGCTTCGTTCTGTGCTCCTCACACAAGGCAATGGTAGCCTTGTTGTCAACGTACAGCACTAGAGGAGAACTAGGCCGCTCTCCCAGGTCGGTCAGCAGGTAGGTGAGCCAGCGTAACTCCTGTGCAGCCATGGCTGTGGCGTAGATCTCAGCCTCACAACTGGAGCTGAGAACAGAAGAAGAACGAGTAGAACGCCAAGAAACTGAACCAGAGCAAAGGCTGAAGGTGTAACCCTGTGACGACCGCTGAGTAGCCTGGTTGTCAGCCCAAGAAGCGTCTGAGTGCCCAGTGAGTACAAATCGGTCTCATCCTCCAAGCACTAGCCCCATACCCGCAGCAACTAAGGAAGGGTCAGTGACAACAGTAGCCAGGAGACGCGTGACAGTAGGACTAGTAGCGCGAAGGGAGTCAAACTCCGGGTCAGCAAGAGCAGGAAGAGAGGACGCAGGAGGAGACGGGAGAGGGACACGCTGGGGAGCAGTGGAAGGACGCAGAGTCATATAGTGTGTGCCGGGGACAGCAGGAGGACGCTCACGCGGAACACGGCTAGCAGTGCGAGCAGCACACACAGGTGACGCAGGACGAGATACAGGCGACACAGGACGAGACTCTGGCTCACGACGCTCTGTAAGACCGCCTATCGGACCAGTGTAGGGAGAAGGACCAGGAAGGGGCGAGGCAAGCGGCAGCTGTGACTGCGACTGGACAGACGGAGGACACTCTAAGGAGGGAGGAGGACGACAAGGAGGAGGCTGACCGAGAACCTGCTGAAGGAGCGGAACGAAGTACGGCCGCGGCCGTGCAGTGTCTCCAAAGCCAGAAGAGACACCAGTGCCAGGGTCCACAGCACCAGCATCAGCTCCAACGCCCGGGTCCTCAGCACCAGTAGTAGCTCCAACTCCAGGGTCAGCAGGACCAGCAGCAGCTCCAACGCCCGGGTCCGCAGCACCAGCTGCAGTCCCAACACCCAGGTCCTTAGCACCAGCAGAAGCTCCAACTCCAGGGTCAGCAGCACCAGCAGCAGCGCCAACGCCCGGATCCGTAGCACCAGCAGCAGCTCCAACGCCCGGATCCGCAGCACCAGCAGCAGCTCCAACTCCAGGGTCAGCAGGACAAGCAGCAGCTCCAACGCCCGGGTCCGCAGCACCAGCAGCAGCTCCAACGCCCGGATCCTCAGCACCAGCAGCTCAAGTAGCTGGGTCCGTGACACGAGGAGCGCCACTCCTGAGAGTGCAGCGCCGTGCGTACCACTCGCGAAGCCGCCGGGGAGAGGGCAGCTCCCGCCTAGGTGGGGAAGCACGAGCACCAGCTCCAGCAGCACTCCGAGCTCCAGAAGTACCTCTCCGGAGGCTGCAGTACTCTAAG